GGCGGGGGTCCGGGGCCCGGGTCAGCGGGGGTGCGGGTGTCGGGTCCGAGGGTGCGGGTGCCGGGTCCGGGGGTGCGGGTGTCGGGGCGCCGGCGGGGGTGTTTTGTGGTGGGCGGGGTGGGGCACCCCGGCGGCGGGGGTCCGGGGGTCGAACCCCTACCCCGGCTTTGCCCCCGGGGGCCCCCGCCTGACAACCCTGATGGTGTAGGCCGGCAGCGAAGGAGTGTGAAAGTCTTCCTTATGGCATGCGTGAGTTGTTCCCCGGATCACACGTTACCGGGGAAAGGTAATTTTATGACAGGACGTGGGGGAAGAGGGTGAACGTGTGGGAGAGGCGGCAGAAAGCGACCAAGTTTTCGATCTCCAGTGGGGAGCCGAGTGTAGTGGATGGTGCGATGGATGTGGGGAAAACGATGGCCATGATGGTGGAGCGAGGCGAGGTAATCAGGGTAGAGAGTGTAGAGAGTGCGGGGGATCGCGGCGAGGAAGTTCTCATAATTTTCACACGTTGGGATCGTACCCGCGATTATACAGTAGATCTCTATATTATTATAATCGCGCCATGCCACGCTAAAGAGAAGGATATGGAGGGGAAAGGAGGTTACGAGAGAGCAGTTGCTGGCATGCGGCTATGTCGTCGCCCGTACGTCGTACAGGGGGTCTCCGTACGGATGAACGGCCGTACGGGCGTACGGACGATGGCCGTCCGAAGGTGCTTTAGGGGAAAAAAAAAAAAAAAAAAAAAAAAAACCATGCGGTTGTATATCTTTTCGAGATCTACAATCCCATATTTGTTTTTCTATTTTTTGGCCTTAAAAAAGATTTTAAAAAAAATCAAAAACAAAAAAGAAAAAGAAAAAGAAAAGAAATTGGTAGCAAACAAAAAGCGGTCAGTTGCCCCGCATGTGTGTGTGTGTGTGTGTGTGTGTGTGTGTGTGTGTGTGTGTGTGTGTGTGTGTGTTTTACTTTGCGAGTCAAACCTCCGCGACTGTGTCATGGCATGTTGCGTCAAAACATCATGCAAAAAAAATGACCCCAATCAAGTAGTTCCAAGATTACCCAAGGAAGAACACCACGAAACACCCTCGAAGCAAGTGGAAGAAGCCAGATAAAATGCATATTGATCCGTCGGGAACACAAGGGTGAGGAATAATTATACTGTGGACAGACATGTAAGATAATGGATTTGTTGTAGACTCAAAACATAGTTATAAAATACAGGAGGGGGGCAGGGGATCATGGCAGATTAATTAAGTACACCAG